CCCTGGGGCTAATCGCCCTTCTTAAGAGGCTGTTGTTTCCCTTGGGATCCTACCTGCCCATCGGTGATGGAGATCACGTTCGTTGGAATGTAGGCTGACACATCACCAGCTTGAGTCTCGATGACTGGGAGAGCGGTCAGGGATCCCCCTCCAAATGCATCGTTCATTTTGGCTGCTCTTTCCAGAAGACGAGAGTGCAGGTAGAACACATCGCCCGGGTACGCCTCACGGCCAGGGGGACGTCGCAGCAAGAGAGACATCTGACGGTAGGCCACCGCCTGTTGAACACAAGAGAGCACAGATGCTGTTACTGCCTCAAGGGAGAGCTGGCTCCCTGTCCCCTAAATTCAGAGGCCAGCCCGAGGTTCAAACCTGCTTAGATAAGTCGTCGTAGATGATCAAGGCGTGTTTGCCGTTGTCTCTGAAGTATTCGCCCATGGAACAGCCGGAATAAGGAGCCAAGTACTGGAGAGGGGCAGCATCGGAGGCTGTGGCAGAAACCACGATAGTGTACTTCATGGCATCTGAAACAGAGAGATGACCAAGGTCAATGAAGATGGAAGCAGCTTAGCCAGGAGAGAAATGCCTACATTCCCCCCCAGCCGAAACATCAAACCTTAAGGCTGCTTTGGACTGCACATTTTGGCAAGCACAAAGGTTTGGGCGAAGGGAATGCCAGTACCTGCATCAGTCAGCCTCTTCACCAGCTGAGCAACGGTTGATCTCTTCTGACCGATGGCAACGTAGATACAGTACAGTTTCTTCTTCTCATCAGTTCCTTCATTAAATCTTTTCTGGTTAATTATGGTATCGATAGCAATTGAAGTTTTGCTGCAAATTGAACATGTCAACAGTCAACAACATGTTATTGCCCCAAAGTAACTCAGAGGCCTACAAATTCGGTGTTGAGAAAAAACTGGAAAGGTGAATAATCCCAAAGAGGGTTTCCTACTGTTAATTTTGCATTACTCCATGGAGGTTTTTGATTCAAATGCCCTCAGGTGTATCCCCATGTAAAGACGATTCCAAAAGTTAAGAATTCACAGTAGCCACGATCACTTGGGGCTAGGAGAGGATCTCCTGTATTTCTTACCCAGTCTGCCTGTCTCCAATGATCAACTCCCGCTGCCCACGGCCAATGGGTACCAGGCTGTCTACTGCCTTGATCCCGGTTTGCATGGGCTCCCGGACAGAGATCCTGGGGATGATTCCAGGAGCCTTCAAGCCAACCCTCCTGCGGAGTTTGGAAGTGATGGGACCCTGTAAAGCAAGGCAACAGAATCATGCTATCACATTAACTCCTCAACAACAGCCCCACACGTAACAGCAGTCGCCTTTCCACACCGACCTTTCCATCGATGGGATTCCCCAGAGCATCGACCACACGCCCCAGCAGCTCCTCTCCAACGGGCACATCCACAATGGCCCCCGTTCTCTTCACAATGTCTCCTTCCTTAATCAATCTGTCGTTACCGAATACTACCACACCAACATTGTCAGGCTCCAAATTCAGAGACATACCCTAAGAAAAGAGAAAACCCATTTAGGGGGTTTCCACTTAGGAAAACCCATATAGTAAAGATCCCATGGGACATTCCCAACAAGCATAATTCATACAAATAACAGAAGCAATATGTAATAGGTAGTCCCTGACGTATGACCATAATTGAGCCCACAAGTTGGGTTGCAAGTCATGAAAGTTATAAAGCAGGTCACCATGTGCAATTTTACCTTTTTTGTGGCAGTTGTAAAGCAAACCATTGTTACTTTGGGGAGTTATTTTTCTCCCTAGAAAGCAGAGGTAAATGCCACTTTCTAGAAATATCATCATAAATTGCAGTCATGTGACCATGGGACACTGACAATGGCCATAGTGGACACACCACAAATGCCACAACTTCAAATCCAGGCCACAAGTTTCTTTTTCAGGGTCTGCTCTAACTTTTAAGGGGTCACTAAGCACCGATAAAGGAGAATATTGGTAGCTCAGGGTTGAAATGAGGGGTCCTTGATGCTCTGAGCTTGGTTGGTTACTTGCAGGTGTTTCATTACTACCAAACTAGGTAATATCATCAGTGCGCTAAGCAACCGGTCATATGTTAAGGACTACCTGTACATTGTAAAATATAAGTGAGCACTGCCATGAGGATATAGTTCCACAAATATTCTGTATATATTGTCAAATGAAAATGTTAATGGTTAGCAATCAGAGATAACCGCTAACACCACCTGATGGATGTGTTGCTTTAAATGGCATTTCCGTCACTCATACCCTGCAACATCATTTCACATAATAATACAATGGGCAGAGAAAAACCAAATCATGAAAATTAAGTTTTAGTATGCAAATATGGATATGAAGACTGACCTTCAACCCAGACGAGAATTCCACCATTTCTTCTGCTTGAACATTTTTCAAGCCATACACACGGGCAATGCCGTCACCGATGGAAAGCACGCGCCCAGTTTCCTGGAGCTCAGCCGAAATGTCAGCCCCTAGAATACGTTCCTCAAGAATAGAAGATACTTCGGCAGTGCCTGGAAGAATACAGACCAATATTAAGGTGNCTGAACTGCAGATAACAGTCAGCTGAAGTGGCCTGCAGTACTGCACCCTAACCACTGCGCCACCTCGGCTCCTTGTGTCAGGCCTGCAGCCATCTTTTCTTTTGGATCTTTGGCCTGCCACACTTTCTAATATCCTACTATGCATTTTCTATTGTGGGAAAATGGGAGGGGGAGATTGTAGGAGTTAGATGCTATGAAGCTATAACAAAATTCTTTCTAGAAAGCCAAGGCATCTTTGTCTTGGCATCTCTGAACCTCACCGGAACTGGATGGGTGGAACTGCCAGCATGGCAGTGGAAGATTGGACTATGTGATGCACTTGTGGATGTAGGGGCGAGATCTTGATCTTTCAACTGGGTAGGGAAGCTTTCAGATTCAGGTTTTCCCAGATATGTCAACATGGCTCTCTTAATAAATTGGAACTTTGAGCAATACTTTGCCTTGGACTCTGATTTAGTTTTGGATGCTATTTGGAACCCCGACATTAACCTGAATCTCCCTCTTCACCGATACACCAACTGCACAATAGAGTTCGTGCCTGGGGCAAAACTACTGAAGCCTAAGATGTACTCCATGGCTCCTAAAGAAATGGCAGAATTAAGGAAATACATTGATGCCAATTTGGAGCGGGCTATATCCAACCAGCCAAGTCAAAAGTAGCAGTCCTCGTACTCTTCAAAGGGAAGAAAGACGAGAGTCATTTCAGAGACATTTCCCAAATAGAGAAACTGAATGACCACAAGTGGACAGAAAAGCTGAGGGAGTGGGTGCAACTTCCAACTTCCTGCTGACGTTCCAATTCACTTTCCTTAAAGATTGTTGCCTTGGAATTTTTGAAAATGAAGATCATGCAGCTGTGGCTAACTACAGCAGTGGAACAGCATAGCAGCTCTGAAATGGCCACAACTTAAAATCCCACAGGACTCATGAGTTCCAGATTTTGGACATATTTTGTAAATTAATCTATTTGAGATAGATTGCCCTATGAGTTCACATTTTGGATAGAGAAGACCATTGGTTGGAAAGAGGGGTAAAATAATCCATCTATGTTAGAACTGAATACCCCTCATTGCTGCATTGGGGCCGGCGGGAGGAAGGCCCGATGATGCCACCAATGACGACGATGCCTCCCTCAGACGCCGCCCTGGCCGGGCTGAAGAGGAGAGGAAGAGGAGGCGGCTGCTGCCCCTGATCTGGCTTCCCTCAGCGGCAGCAGTGAGAGGAGGCACCATCATCCCCTGAGGAGGAGGAGGAGGAGGAGGAAGAGGAGGAAGGAGCCGCCCCTGGCGACATGGACGTAAGGCAGCCCCCGCCGTCCATGGACCCATCCAGAGAGGCTGCCACCTCATGGGGCACCCAGCGGCTGTCCCAGCCCCTCTGTGCCTCAGGCTGATACCACCACCACCTCGTGTCGGAGCCACCTTGGCGAGACTGTAGCTGGCTTGCTGTGAAGAGGGGTGGAGAGCATGCGCGGCCAGCCGGACTGAGGAGATCCTCCACCTCTGCCTCCTCTGGAGCTCCGCTGGGCTGGGCGGGGGGGAGCCCGGCTTAAGGGCATGGGGTGGCCGAGGGATGGCACAGGGGCCGCCCCGCTGCAGACAAAAAAGGCCTGGCGGGAGGGGAAGGGAGAGAGCGGAGGGGGAGGCTGAAGGGCTTCGGCTCCCCTTGGCGGAAATGGCCGAAGTTCATTGGAGGAGGGGCAGAAAGGGGAAAGGGTGGGACCGCAGCCCAGCCACACATATAAAGGGACCGTCGGGACAAAGCTGGAGAGAGGCCAAACATACTATACTCACGAAATTAATGCTATGGTAAACGACACAGTTCAATTCCAACGCAATGTCACATAAAATAATTAAATCAAAATGAGAATAAATCAAAATCTATGAAAATTCAATATAACAATGCGATAGGAAACTTTGAAAGGGAATCATAAAATATTTAGTATAGCGTGTGTTGCTTTTACATCCAACAGATGGCGCTGGTTTTCAAAAAAGCATGTTTTTACTTGTCACAGGTGAGACATCTATATCAGTGTTTCTCAACCTTGGCCACTTGAAGATGTCCGGACTNTCATAGACTGTGTATATAATTCAAGACTATTTATAGCTTGTTATGGAGAATATTTTTATTTTTGTTAACACAAGTAAAGTTATCCTTGTTTTAACTTTAGCGGCTGTGATTGATAGTGTGACTATTCAGCAGCACATACCTTGCTACCTTCTGCTAATCAACTTTAGTCTCCAAAAGGAGACATACTTAACACTAACTGTATTATTTTTACATATAACAAGAAAGTGAACATGCCGAAAATGACTTGTTCCACCTATTTTTCTCATAACAATTCTGTGAATTGGCCTGAGAGTGATTGGCCCAAAGTCACGCAGGTGGCTTTCCTGCCACCTGTTTTAATTCACAATATCCTGGTTTCTAGACTGATATCTTAATGTCCTTGCTTTTCCAGATGTTTTCCATGCTAATTCTCTCAATGCATCCAAGTAATATTCCTCATTTAATTCCTTGCCCTCCTGTTTGGTCAATTTTAGAATTGCATGAAAAAAGTCCTGTTCTGTCTTAATTTGCTTGTAGTGAATTTTTATCTTGGTGCCACTATTTTGAACCACTGTAATTATTTTAATGTTATTGATGTTACAATCCAACCTCTTCCGCTTTTTTCCTTATTTTATATCCTCTTCATTATATGCCAGAAGAATAATGAAAGCTGCATATTTTAGATTAAGATAAGAATTGTCCAAACTGCATCTGAATATGAATAGGCATAGAATTCAGCCTAGACCCAAAAAACATGTACGAATGTACAAAAATAACAAAAGTTTAAAAAAATCCCATATCATTTAATATGAACTAGGCAACATAACATTTCTATTGCTTATTTAGTATCCATGACTATCACTAAATGTTGTATCTAATGTTTTATGATGAATGTATTTTTACAATGACTATGATAATCATCTATCACTATTGTTGCATGTACACTAAGAGCTTATGTACCAAAGACAAATTCCTTGTGTGTCTAATCACACTTGGCCAATAAAGAATTCTAAATTTATGCCAAACATATATGTGTGGGCTCAACTCTGATCCAGGGAAACAGACAAGTCCGAATGGCTTTCTTGAAGGCCAGGGTGGTAGAGGTCCTTCAGCTATTTACTACCATTTCTAGTCCTACTCCCTGTTTCAGGATGTTCTTTTATCTTTGCACTTTTACTATATACCTTTATACTTATTCTGTGTAGATGAGAAAATCAAAGCAGTGGACAGTATAACTTTTATTTTTAAACAAAGCTGGATCCATTTGGGACCCAAAGGCTTTAATGAAAAGGAAGATAATGCAGGAGGTTGGAACTCTGCCAAGTAATCCATTAAAATATATATACATTTTTAAAAACTCTATAAAAGGCAAATGAAAGAACAACATGGTAGGTGCCTAAGGAAGTTTCTGTGAGTATATTAGTACCCTGATCTCAGTTATTATTGCCCAGGTATTGAAAGTGGCTTATATCATTACAACAATTCATGTGAAACTGCCTTCCAACAAATTATTGGTCCATTGATAGGATACTGACTATCCTGAGGTGGAGAAGAAAGATGATAAAAACAGCAAGATGATACAACTGAGAAGCCTAATATGGTTACTTTAAATGCTGAATACTTACCTTGGTTCTATAACCTTTATTTTCAATAGATCAAACTGATGTTAGTAAGCAAAACATATTACTAGGACAGTGGCCTCTCCTCCCTATAGTCTTATATAAACCACTGGGGAATTTAAAAGTATATTAATATATCATTGCTGAATTAATCGAAAACAAATATATAATCATTTCTTTCTTAAAATAATTTTGAAACCTCAGAATGTTCATTTATTTGCCTTATTCATTAAATAGTACCAATCCGCATGTGTTAAGCAGAAAAGTAGCATTTAAAAAATTGGAAAATAACCAAGTTTTGTAAGTAGTCGAGAAGCCCACAAACTTTCTTGTCTTTAAGGGAATAGAAATGTTGTTAAAACTAATGCAGTACTTCTTAGTACAAATAAATTATTACAGATGGGATCTGGAATTTGAAAGGGGGGAGGGCATTGCTAAATGTGCTTACAAAGCTTGTATTTGAAATACTCTTCTCAAAATTAACTGTTAGGTTTCTGCCCAAAGGCTAAATAATAAAATTGTAAACAGAATATATTTCATACTAATGGCAGAATAAGCTTAAGCTTTCATAAATTATCCTTGAAGTAGTATTTATGGAAATGATAAGAAGAAGAGAAGAAGAAGAGAAAAAAAAACTCTGCTAGCTAAACAAGCCAACTAGCTGTCTGTTATGTAGGAATACTGAATTCATTTGAATTTGTCAAACATTCAAAAGAAGGCAGCTAATCATGCTAAACATCTACAGAGTTCTCACAAATGACTATCAAGAAATAAAGCTCAACACATTTCAAATGGTATCATATAAGAATGAAAATGTTTGCTGATGTTATTTTTAATCAGGGCTTGAAAATCAGCAAATTTCAGAACAACACTGATGGTTCAAAATAGGAGGGGAAAAACATATTGTGCAAACTGTTTGAATCTTTGCTAAAGTGTAATTATTTGAGATCTTGACATCTTAAATGTCAATGCCATTCCAAAATTGTTTAAATTAATTTTTAGATGTTTATCTTGCTGTAGCAAAACAGCTGAGCTCATGTATACAAGGCTGGAAATCTCAAACCAACTCTTCCAAAAGCCCCCAGCCTTGTCTCTTGCCTGGGTGATTATGGCTTGACTAGTTTTGTAGCCACCATCTACCATCGAGGGGGACATCACTGGGCATTCTCCCTCAAATCTCGGTGTGAGATCAGGATCTTATAATTTGCTTTGTTTTTCCAGTTTTTAAAAGGTTAAAATGAAGGTTAAAAATTGAAGAATTGTTATAATGCAAACTCCTGGCTGTATAACTTGGTGCTTGTAACTTGAGGTTTCAACCAGCCCTGGGGAAATAAATCAATCTCACAAAATATAAACAAAATCAATTTTTACTTTTAAAAAAGATATATGAAATCTACTTTTTAAGAAGAAACATACAAAATATATGCAGTGAGCCAAGCAGACCACAAGAAGCTTCTGCTGTCATAATGATGTTTTGTCTTGAAGTGATAGCATATCAAGACATTTATAAATACGTAAATAGAGGGTTTTGTTTTTTTAGTTCAGCCTACAGGCTGGAAAGCAAAGCTGAGTTACACGTTTAATATCTTAATCTATAAATGAGAACAAGAGTCAATAACACTTAATTAGCACCACCCAGAAAAATCAATCAAGATCTGATGCAAAATTATGGATAGATTTTTACCATTTCCACAGAGTTAATTCTGGACTTTCTCCAGCTTTCTGGGAGATTCAACTTAAGCAGAGGCAGCCACCATGTCATGTCCATCCCTTTTCTCCCACTTTCTCTTTGGTTCAACTATACATATATCTGTAAAAAAAAATTCTATATATAACAGAGGGAGTTGTTAGATATCTCTCTGTTATCTGTGACAAAGAATATCTCTCACCCGCTGTAATTCACTGTT